GAAAGAACAAACGTTATATAAGGTAATATAGGGGAACGGGGAATAGCTCCGACATTATTGAAATTCAAGTATACCGCGTATCTATGGCCATTGTTTAAACATTCTGCATATGTCGAGATACACGGAAGGGCATATTAGAATGTTTAAACAATAGTCATATATAGATACGCGGTATACTTGAATTTCAATAATGTCCGGGGCTACCCCCCGTTCCCCTACATCTGTTTCATACCAAATATAGCAAAAGAAATGGGATATGATCCAATATGTAAAATATGTACATTAATGTTTTATATTCCCTGATAAGAAATGATTTGTAAAATTACATAACAAAATCTGAATGAATTTTGGAATTCTGCAATTATGTCTCAATATTTGGAACAATAAGTATTTGTAGAAATTTAGACTTTTCATGAAATATTGATAAATATTTGCACAATTTATTTCTAAATGGTATTTCAGCAAAACAGTAGCGTTATGGCTTATGGCGAATCATAGCATCTTAGGGGAATATTTGTAAAATTAAATTTGAAAAGAAATTAAGAAATATATTTGAGTTTTATTACATGTTACTCCTGTATACCTATATTATGAAAAAACAAAACGGGAAGAAAAGAGGCTATAAGGGTCAAACGCGGTTCTTCTTGCGTGATGTCTCATTTATTCACTTTCTTGGATATAATTTCAAACGTTTCGGCTCAATTTCGAGCCATCCTCAGCGATAACAATGGTTAGCCCACGATCTCCAAACCAAATAGCAAGCTCGTCGACTCGTGTTATTTGTACCAAATGATCCTTATCTGTAAGATTTTGATGTATAAAATCAAACCTTAATTAACTCGAGACAGTGATTAACTTACCAAATGGCCAAAGAGAACGTGGGAATTAAATAATCGAAGTGACTTGTCGGTAGCATCGACATTTTAAAAACGACGGACGGAATAAAAACATTTAACGTAACGTAGTCAGAATTCGAATGTATACATAGATAGTTGTGTCGATGATAAAAGTGTTATTGTGATACAATTCAAAATACCAATGAGAGCACGAGAGCTCGACGCGTCATAACAATTATACAGCCAATAAGGACATCAATCGTAGGCATGGTTTACAATTTATTTAAAATAGTCATGTATGCGTGATGTAAAAAATCGGTGTCATTTTGCAAATTAATACTATTTTCCTGTAGTTTTATGTGAATCATTTCAGAAATTAGTCTCCTGGATAAATATTTCTTTTTGTCTAGGATTTCCACATTCTCCCAGTCAAAATCGTGATCTAGATTCTGCCTGTGTTCGGTGACGACCGATTGTGTCGAGGTAATTCTATTAATGTGGCTCCGATGTTCAGAAATACGAGTTTTTAATTGCCTTTTAGTTTGGCCTACGTATGTCGCGTCACATTCTCTACAGGAAATTTTGTAAACCACATTTTTATTCGATTGAGCTGGGAGGACATCCTTTTGTACTTTAATAAATTTTTTAAGTTTGTTTAGGCTGAAGAAAGACAATCTGACATTAAGATCCCTGACAACTCTTGTAAAATCATCGGAGATCCCCTCAACGTATGGAACAGTAAGCCATTTACGTCGTTCTTCCTCGCAAATGGTTAGAGATTCATCCTGTCTGCGAGTGCGTCTGTTAAGTAACGCTTTAATTCTCATGTTGATAGTATCAAAGATAAATGTCAAAGGATAGTCGTTCTTCAGGAGAGTATCAATTATAAACTTAACGTTCTTACAATGATATTTAGGGTGGGAAAGTAAGAAGGCCCTATCAACCTATATTATGTACAACCTATATTATGTACCTATATTATGTACATACAGCATATTCTATGTTTGCTGAATCGCCATTAGATAACATCCTTCCTCGTACGTAAAATATGATAAACGGTGGTATATGTGACTGTTATATATATGTATGTATATCTGTGTTTACTGAGATAATTTTGCTTCTAAATGTCGAAATAATTGTGCGTAATTTGTACTCAATGTTAAATTTATCAATTTTTGAGCAAATATTATTCAGAAATTTCATGTCGACAAAAATCGATGCGTTATGGGGCGAATTATTTTATTGTTAGTGCGATTATTGTGAAATTCCTCTTAATTGAGTGATCTTGTACAATATTTGCGCAATTTTTCTATCAAAGTCTTTGTGTCATTACATTTAATTATATTTATTTACAGTACATACTGTTCTTGAAAATTTATATATTGTTAGATTTTAAATATAATGGAATTAGAATAGGAATTAGAATAGAAAATTAAATACAGAGAGAGGAGAGAGAGAGAGTAACTATTTAAATACACG